ACACCCAAAAATCAATAGCCTTCATGTACACAAACAACAGACTCACTGAGAAAGAAATTAGGGAAACAATTCCTTTCACAATAGCATCCAAAAAAATGAAGTATCTAGGAATCAACCTAACAAAAGAAGCAAAAGACCTCTACACTGAAAACTACAGCACTCTGAAAAAAGAGATTGAAGAGGATATAAGAAAATGGAAAGACATGGGTAGGAAGAATCAACATAGTAAAAATGGCCATACTACCAAAACTGCTATACGGATTCAATGCAATGCCAATTGAAATTCCAACACTGTACTTCACAGAACTGGAAAAAAGAATCCAAAAATTCATTTGGAACCATAAGAGACCTAGAATAGCAAAAGCCATCCTAGGCAACAGACACATGGCAACGGGTATAACAATTCCCAGTTTGAAACTATACTACAAAGCCACTGTGATAAAAACAGCACAGTACTGGCAAAGAAACAGACCTGAAGATCAGTGGACCAGATTGGAAGACACAAAAACAACTCCAGATACAATCAGCTACCTCATCTTTGATAAAGGAGCTGACAGTCCCCACTGGAGGAAAGATAGCCTCTTCAATAAATGGTGTTGGAAAAACTGGATCTCAACCTGCAAAAGATTAAAACTAGATCCTTATCTGTCACCATGCACTAAATTAAAATCCAAGTGGATTAAAGATCTAAATATAAAAACAGAAACACTAAACTTGCTGGAAGATAAGTTAGGCAGAATTCTGGAAGACATTGCCATAGGAAAAGATTTTATGAACAAATCCTCAGTAGCACGGGAATTAGCAGAAAGAATCAACAAGTGGGAACTCATCTTATTAAAAAGCTTCTGCACTGCAAAAGAAGCCATCAACAGAACTAAGAGACAACCTATAATGTGGGAAAAACTTTTTACCAGTTACTCCTCAGACGAAGGACTCTTATCTAGAATATATAAAGAACTCAAAACAACCAGCCCCCGCAAATATAAAGACCTAATTCAAAAATGGGCATCTGAAATGAACAGCCATTTCTCAGACAAAGAAATGAAAGCAGCAAGTAAATATATGAAAAAATGTTCCACATCACCGGTCATTCGATAGATGCAGATGAAAACAACACTGAGATTCCACCTCACCCCACAAAGAATGGCTGCTATCAAGAAATCACACAACAACAAATGTTGGCGGGGTTGTGGGGAGAAAGGAACCCTTCTCCATTGTTGGTGGGAGTGCAGACTGGTGCAACCACTATGGAAATCAATATGGAGATACCTCAAAGAACTAGGATTAGAGGCTCCATTTGACCCAGCCATCCCTCTGCTGGGTATCTTTCCAAAATAATTAAAAGAATCATATCACGGTGATATATGTGCACCCATGCTTATAGTGGCACAGTTTGTAATAGCTAAAACTTAGAAACAACCCACCTGCCCATCAGTTGGAAACTGGGTAAAGAAAATATGGTTTTTCTATAAAATGGAATACTACTCAGCCATAAATAATGAGAAAGTTGATTCATTCATAGGTAAATGGGTACATTTTGAGGATACTCCTAAGTGAAATAAATAAGTCACACATGTGTAAATACCGAATAGTTCCTCTGGTGTGAAAAATTAAAATAGTACTCAAGATCCTAACGGGTTAATTAGCAATGTGAAAGAGGAAGAAAAGGAACTAAAGGTGTATGGATAGTGAAAAGGGTAGGGGAAGGAGAATAAGGGAAAGGGAAAAAATATGAGAAAATGTAAAAGTGGAATTAAAGTGTTTGTAGGTGGGGAGTAGAGGAGGGGGTGAAGGGAGGGTGGGGACAAGGGGAAAAAATGAGAATCAAGACCTGTCATGTAAAGGTACTAGATCCCAGTAATGAATGTAACTGTACTGTATACATACAATGTGCCAATAAATTCAATTTAAATAAGAAAAAGAAAAAAACATAAATTCAGGTTCCGACATAACCCAGTTCATTCTAAACATATCAAAATGGTAAAGTTAACATACAAGTGTAAACAGAGCAAACAAACAAAAGGAATATATGGACTAAAATATTAAGATGAACTCTTTGGACCAGAAAGGGACTATAAATACAAACGTTGTCAGGTTCAAGAACCCAGAACTAGGAGTTGGTAGTAGTTTGACTTTTCTTATCCGAGTAGAGATTAAAAGTGTGTCACGTGAGACCAGGGTCAAAATCCAGGTTTAGAATATCAAACATGCGTCAGGTGGGACTCCACTCTCACGGACATAGAGCAGGTCCCGTGGAGAGCTGGGCTGTGGTGAACATCACTGCCAGGAGCGCTGGGCCTCTGACTAAGGACTGAGTTTCAGGCGGGAAGCATGGGTAGGATTAGGTTTTAAAATGAAGGAAGAGACAGAAGGAATAAGGAACTCAAAATGCAATCTTTCATTCACAATGAACTTAAGATCAGTACAGCTAAGTACATGGATAAAGGGAATGCTAAGAAAAATAACAAGGACTGTGCTGTAGCTCAGCAGTAGAGCACTGGCCCAGCATGTACAGTATTCTGGCTTCCATCTCCAGCACCTCAAGAAAGAAAAAAAAAGGTGACAAAACACAATTCTCAGAGTAAGAGTTTACTTTAGATAATATTAATTTCATAGACAGGTTTGACAAAGTCTTTAAAATTGCTATGTTTGAGATGCTCAAAAGATAGATGAGGTCACAATATCTATAAGATACTAAGTTATGAAGCAAACAGAAAAACATGAGATAAAAATAAATGAACCAGTCATGGTTGTGCACACCTGTAATGCATTTGGGAGGCTGAGGCAGGAGTATTGGCATGTTTGTGGCCAGGCTGTCTCAAAACACAAATAAACAAACAAATGATGGCCATGAAATAGAAACAATTAGAAATGCCCATCAGTTACAAAAAAAAAAAAAAAAAAAAAAAAAAAAAAAAAAAAAAAAAAAAAGAAAAAAGAAAACAGAACTATGATAAAGGCATCTAGGATAGAATACTGGGGATTGAACCCAGGGTCTTGTTCATGAGAGGCAAGTGCTACCCCACTGAGTTACATCCCTAGACTTTTCTATTTTACTTTGAGATGAAGCCTCACTAAATTTCCTGGACTGGCCTTGCGCTATTGGTCTTCTTTCTTCAACCTTCCGAGTAGCTCGAATTAGAGGTTTAGATCACCACGATCACTTTAGGGGTCTTAAAAACATGATGAGTTAAATTAAAAACAAAAACAAAAGAAAGAGATAAACTTTAAACTTTTTAGCCAAGAAAACAAATTGGGAAAATGGAAGAGTACTAAAGAATCATCCCGGTAAAAATCATAGATAGAGATAAAAATATACAAGAACAGGTAGGAGCTATAGCAGACAGATCAGGAAACTCTAAACTACATTTCACAGGAATTTCAGAAGAAGAGATTTGAGGAAAGGGTGCAGAAGCAATATTCCAAGAAGTAATAGCCAAACATTTTCCAATTTATAAAAGGACACTGAGATCTGTTTCCTGTACATTGGCCCACCATTTATGAACACTTTACCCTGTTACAATCTAGACTAGGAGGAGGGACACAACACGAATGTGGTATAGCTCTTGCTCCAGCTTGAGGGACTCACAATTAGTAAGAGACATGGACACTGGTGGTACACGCCTGTAATCACAGGACTCAGGAGGCTGCCGCAGGAGAATCATGGCAAATTTGAGGTCGGTCGGCACCACAGAGGGAAGCCTCCCCTCAAACAAAAACAAAAACAAAAAGAGAAAGAAAGGCAGATGTGTTTAATTAAAATGTAAACAGAGCTAAAGATAAACGCTGAATTACAGAAGCATGAAGAGGGAGGAAGAAAACATGCAGGAGGAGTAAGGCAAGCTCCGCAGCGAAGACACTCCAGCTGGACCCTGGCGGCTTCCTAGAGGGTCGGATTCAGGAAGGAAGACAGAAGCCAGAGAGCATGAAAGAGCGCGGTGGTTTAATGGCTGCTGAGGTTCTGGGTAGTTCTAGGTGGTTCTTGGGTTCTAGAATCCATGGAAGAAGGATTAAGGCTGAATTTAAGGAGTGACGGGAAGAAGATCTGAACATCCTTAAAAATGGGAAACATTTACTGACGGTTCATGGAAGCACTGTAAGTAAATAAGTCATGCTCATTGATGTGATGACTAGGGTCAGAAAGAAGGGCTGCATCCACCACAGCGAACTCTATCCAGTGCCTGTCCATCGTCAAAGGAAACTGCCAGGTTCATTTTGAAAAAGAACCGAAATGTTCTCCACCAGCCATTAATACTTACCAAGAAATCCGGTCACTCTGGTGCACACCTGTGATCTTAGCTACTCAGAAGAAAGCTCAAGACTAGCCTGGGCAACTTAGAAAGAGCTGCCTCAGAAGGGAGGAAGGAAGGCAGGCAGGCAGGCAGGCAGGCAAAGAAGAAAAACGGGCTAGGGATAAAGCTCAGTTCAAGGTTCTAGGTTTAATCTCTTGTGCTTAAAAAAAACTATAAATGATATAGAAGTATCCTTTCCCCCTTTTGCGGTACTGGGGATTGAACCCAAGGCCTCACACATGCTAGACAAGTACTCTTCCACTGAGCTATATTCCCAGGCCTTTTTATTTTATTTTGAGACACAATCTCGTTAGATTGTCTAAGCTAGCCTCAAACTTGGAATCCTCCTGCCTCAGCTTCCTGAGTAGCTGGGATTACAGGGACTCGCTACCATACTCAGCAGAAGTAAAGGACCTATTTCTTACATGTTGAGATTGCACTGCAGCCATCTTTTGAATGGAAAGCCATAGGGTAAATGAGTGAATGTAGATTTTAGAAGATCCCTAGCATTAGTGCTCTGGATGACCTGTTGCAGGAAGGTGCAGAAGCTGAGCATGCAGAGAGCATGCTGGTACAGGAGGGTTCTGGTCCTGAGGCTGGGAAGCCAGAGGGACCGCCAAAGATGGGGAGGAGGGACAGAAGGTCAAAGCAGGAAGGAAACTTTTCCGTTTTCCATTCACATATGCAAAACCATAGCTCTCCTCTCACCTTTGCATTGCTTGCAGGTTGGATGGCACCTCTCACAGGTCTGTGTGCTCTGCTCTGTGTAGTAATACTCCGGGCAGGCCAGGTAACACTCTCCCTTGGAGCGGAGAAGAAAGAAATACGGATCGCAGGACAGGCAGTCCGTGGGGCGTGGGCCCCAGCAGGTCTTGCAACTCTTGTGACACTTCTCACACTGCCCAGTGGAATTGTCTGCATAATAACTGGAACCAGGAGGGGACAAAGACAGAACACAGTCATCTCTCAGTTTCTTCGAGGATCAGTTCCAGGGTGGACACGAAAATGCATGGGAAGAGAAGAGATGTGCCCATTTGGGGTGAAAGCACGTATGGTAGGTGTAAGGTTGTGGCCCTTCAATTTGGGTCTGGAAGCTCTCAGTGCCCTATGTCACTGATTAGAAAGGAGTTAGCAATATGTCTATTATGAGTATTTCTCTTTGCTGGGATGTCCAGGGGAAAAGAAGAAGTCAAATCCTCTTCTAAATTTGCTATAACCAGATGTTCTGATAAACACACTAGTAGTTTTTTCTAGTAGAAAATGCTGAATGCTTTCAAGATAATCCCATATATCTGGGTTGCTTATGAGAACTAAACCTATAATGTGTGGATTTGTGGAAGAGGTCTGTGTTGGAGAACTGACGGGATATTAATGGGGCTGTTACCCGAAATGGTTCCCTTTGTAAAATCAATGTTCCACGTGCTTTGCTTCGATCAACCTTGCAGACTGAATCTGAATTGTAGCAAATCCTAAAGGTGAAGGGAATCTCCACACAGTCTTGGGCTATTCCATGGGCTGGAGGCATTGGTTTCACCTTGGAATTGTGGATATTCCTTGAATTACCAGAGAAGCCAGGCCCTGCCTGAGATCAGTTACCCAGATGAGTCTGACTTGAACCTCTGACTCAGTGTTCTCTCATGGAGTCACTCTGCCTCTCCCATTTTACTTCCATTACTGTAAGTGCATTTATCTTTGTTCCTCCCTAGCAGTGAGATTATAGTCTGATTACATTAGTGCCTGGCTCTTAGTTTCCTCATCTGCAAAGTGGGTTGATACGTGGAGTGGCTGTGGAATTCAGTGCAGGAAAATGTGCTGAGCATCTTACCCTTCCCTGCAGTGCAGCAGACACTCCCTGCCCAGCTGGAACCAGCCTGCTCGGCAGGAGAGGCACTGCATGCTTCGTGTCCCTTTACAGGTCCTGCAAGATCCATGGCAGGGTGTGCACCGCTGTCTGTCCTCGAAGTAGCCCTCTGGGCAGCTGTCCACACAGGTGGTGTCTGTTAAGAAAGGAGAAGAGTTTGTCTTGATACCAAGCCCGGCCTGTGGCTCCGACACCCTTATGTGGGAGAAGGGGAGCACACAAGAAATGAGATGCTACCCCTGTGGACTAATATTCTTGGGAGTGGAGATGAATGCAAAGGAAATAGAACTGGCCGTAGGGCTACTATGAGTTCAGAGTGAACAGAAGTGAGGGTGGACAGAAACCACAGTCTGGTGATGGAAGAGTGGCAGCGGTTCATTCTCAGCTGATGCATCTGGCTCATGAGAGGAAGAAAGTCTCAACCTTGTACAAATATATAGGAGTAATTTGGTAGCTTGAGACAACTCATAACTATTATCTTAGACTGTTATGGAGTCCGAGAATCTAAAATGGGTCCGTGGTGCTCTGTTCCTCTGAGCCCTTAGGAGGGCTTTTTTCCACCTTCTAGAGAGTGCCTGCATTCATGGCTCGCTCCTTCATCTTCAAAGGCAGCAGCATCTCTTCTGGTCCTTCTCCTGTTATCACCTCACCTTCTCTTATTAACTCTGAGCTTCTGCATTTTCTTATCAAACCCTTGTGATTGTGTGAGGCCCATTGGGGCAACCCAGGTGTTATGGCTCATATCTAGATGTCACCCCCAAGCCTCATAGGCAGGGCTTTTTCAGAGGTGGCTGAATCTAGAGTAATTGATTCATAGTGCAATGCTGGGATTTAAGGGCATGTGATGACTAAATCCGCTCACTGACTGGATTGGCACCACCCTAATCCTGGTAGCCTGGATACAGTACACAAGACAGAAAGAGGCTTGTCTTGTCCCTTGCTTGCTTTGCTACCTTCTGCCCACCATGAACTGTTTCCTTGCAATGCCTGTGGGCCAATGCACCCTGCCTTGCAGCCAGCCAGTTACCGACTAAAACCTCTAACTGGGAACTCAACTAGCCTTTCCTCCCTGAACTTGTGGTGTTGAGTACTTTGTCCCAGCAACAAGAAAAGTAACTAAGACACCAGGATAATCCCTTCATGCTAAGATTCCTCATTAAATCTCACATGTGAAGCCCATTTTACCACCCAGGGTACTATCGTTACAAGATAGGAGAAGAAGTGAATTATCTTCAGTGTTATGCAGACTATCACAAAGTCCAAAACTTGTCGCCAGTCTGATGGGTGATAAAAGTGATGTGGGGAAGTGTGAGAAGCTCAGGGCTGGGCAAATCCTGCATCCAGCCCGTAGGGACACCTCTCTGTGCGCTGTGTGATACTCCAGAGTGGAAGTCTCAGTTCTAGCTTAATTTGCATGCACCCCTCTCTCTCCATTTATAGGAAGACCTCCCTGTAGTGAATAGATTGCTTCCTGTCTGCATGAAGGCATCTTGACACCCCTGGTGGCATTCTACATTGGGGCTAGTTAGAAAAGAAGGGGTGGGACGATAGGGGAGATCTGCTCAGAAGAAACGCTTCCATGAAGAAGCAGCTGTTGGGAGGAGGTTCCCTGGGCTTTGTGTAGCAGGAGCTGAGGCAGACTAATAGGGAAGGCTGGTGTCTTCCAGTGTCGTCTTCAGTTGTGGGGGGCTCAGAAGTGGTACTAAGGGCAGGTATCCCTGTGTCTCCTCAGGAGAATGAGGTCCTTGCTGATGGTTCCTCAGCAAGGAGAGGAACAACCACATATTTCCACTTTGAATGTCTCACTTCCCAGGTCTTCCCTAGTGACTGGGGTCAAGTCTCGCATGCTCTAGACCTGCCCACATTTTTCTTTCTTTGTTTTCTGCCACAGCCTCTTCTTTCAATTGAGTTGAATATCATCTTGTCTCCGTCTCCCACGCTTGTCTTGAGCCTACTCACGCTGTACCTGGAAACTGAGGACATTATGTCCTCCTACCAGTCACCTTCAGATCAGATCTGCTGACTTCAGCTGACCTTGGGCTGTGCCGTACTCTGACCAACAAGAATCATTAAGCAACAGATGCTAAGTCGAGGGGAAATTTTGATGAGGAGCTGAGCGTCTATGTGTTCTTAAGGTGACTCCCCACCAATTGCTTACTAATTACAACAGAATCAGTGGCAATTTTTCAGTGGAGAAATGGAACACCTTGATGAGATCATCAGCATTAAGCGGACTGATGAGAGCTGGGTGGCTGTCAGGCGCCTCCTGACAACACTCGCAGAAGGCAGCTATTCCAGCAGGGCACACGAACTCTCATTCGCTGGCACCGTGGGGAAACTGCACAGCCACCCAGATAGAGGGCCAGGGACGGCATTCTACTCAAGCATTAACATTTTGAGAGACAAAGACAAGCTGGGCATGGTAGCACATGCCTGAAATCCCAACTGCTTGGGAGGCTGAGGAAGAACCATATATTTGAGACCAGCCTGGGCAACACAGGCAACATAATGATATCCTGCCTCAAAAACAAAAAAAACAACAACAATAACAAACAAACAAAATGACAAAGTCAGCCTGGAAATGTTCCAGATTGAAGGAGGCTAGAGACATGGAAACTAAGCCTAGACTCAACAATATTATTGAAGGAAGTTGGCAGAAAAAGTTTAATAAGATAATAATGCAATATTAAGGTATTGCATCAATGTAAATTTATTAGAATTGAATATTATCTTGGGGTTGTAAGAAAGTATTCATATACTTAAGAAGCAGTAGTACAGTGTTTGCGGGTTTGAGACCATGATGTAAGTAACTTACCCTCCGGTGGTTTTGAAAAAGAAATATTACAGATAATGCATCTACCTAATGTAGAGTGTATCGGGGAACTAAATGCTAAGCAGGTGGGAGGCGGTAAAAGATTTGCAATAAGTGCACCGGGCAAAGGACATGTGTGTGATTTTCTTTGCACTATTCTCACACTTGAATTTTTCTATAGGTTTGGAAGTTTTTCCAAACAAAAGTAAAAAACTTACAGAGAAAGAAGCCAGTATCCACTGGATATCAAGCTTTGCACCAGGTGGTTTCCCAGGAGGAGAAACAGAGCCCTCCAGGGAAAAAGAGACTCACTGAGAAGAAGGCTGCTCCTGGGGCAGCTGTGGCACTGGTCCTCCATGGGCCCCGTGCAGTCACTGCACCTCTGGTGACAGGGCTTGCACCTGTGCACGGCCTCGTCCCAGTACTCGATGGTGGCACATTCCCTGTGAGCCACGCAGGAGCCTCGGCTGTTCATCTGCAGGCCTTCCCGGCAGGCTGTGCAGGTCCCGGCTGACGAGCAGGTGCTGCAGGACTCGTGACAAGCTGCAGGTGTGGCAGGGGAGCAGCGTGAGAGGGAATCCTTCCTCCTGGGGGCTTCTGGGCTTTGTGCAAGGGTGTGGATCATGAGTTGGGCATAGCTCTTGGGCTCTGGGTGGAATATTCTCATTGCAAAATGAGAAAGCAATGGCTCTTTTCCCTTCTCTGCAATATCCAGAGAGCTCCTCCCCACAGTGGCCACTTCAGAAAGATTAATAAAGCTTCTATAATTCCCTGATGGCAACCAAGTAATGGCAAGCAATTCTGCAGCAACAGCACAGTCACTCACGAGTGTGTGGCCTTTTCCCACCTCATCGTCCCTATGGCCACGGCCCTCCCTTCCTCCCACGATCGGTACACTAAATTGTAATTGCCACTGGCGTTTAGGAATGCACAGTGCCTAGGACAGGGCCTGGCATATAAAGCAAGCCCTCCATACATATATGTTAGACAATAAAATAGGAACAAGTCACTCCCAGCCCGAGGATTTTAGCAGCTGCCGCTCCTACCTAGTGCTTCCTCACAGATATATGCATACGTGGTCGCACATTGCCCCCTCCCTGTCGTAGGGACATCTTCCCGGTCTTCTCTCAAGTTTCTGCTCCATCACCTCACCACCTGCCCATCTTCCTATCCTCTTTCTTATCTTGTTTTCCTTTTTCCCTCCAACTCATCTTCTTTAGTGTCTGTCTTCCTCCATAGAACGTGAGCTCCATGCGGTCAGGAACTGTGCCCGTCTTGTCCTCTAGACGAGTGCATGGCCCAGAGAGGCCCCCATAAAGCATTCCCTAGACCAACAGGCACATGGGGTCATTCCTGCTGTCACCACCACCTCATTTTATTTGGATTAGGAAACTCCAGCTGGAGGTACTAAACTGGAAAAGGCTAGTAGGATCAAGAGCTGAATCCAGATCCTTAACGAGTACACTTGCTGGTTCCGCCCAGTGTCAGGAAGGAGCGAGAAGCCTTCTTGGGCTTTGGAAAGCCCTTCCCCAGAACGCTTCTCTCCTTCGCTGGAGAATTCCTCTGTTGATGGACAATTTGTTTTATGTTTCTGCTCCAGGATAACCATTTGCCTCTAAGAGGCAAAGAATCCATACCCAGTTAAAACGTAAGGAGGTGTAAATAATACAGATTGTTTCTGGAACATGTAGGGAGTCCCAAGAGGGAGGTGGCATATGGGCTGATGGTGGTAAGGAGGTCGTGGAGGAAGATGAGAAAATGGTCTACGGCATGGTGTACTCATGTGATGAACTCACAGTTGCCTACAACTTTAAGAAAATCTTCCACTTAGATTAGCTCAAGGGTTCATCCTCTCAGCTGGGAATCTTCACCTGAGAATCTTTTCTAATACCCATCACTAGAAAGAGGGTCCAGGGGACGTACAACTAATGAAACTGCATGATCAAACCTTACGTATGATTCATTTAAAATCAATCAGAACGATTCAAAATCAGCTTCCTTCAGGGATAAGTTTAGCGCAGGACAACAGCTCTGGCCCTAACCCAGGGCCCGTTTTGTCTTGGTAGAAAATGTCTCACTGGGCTCCCCAGAGTGTTGTGCTTTGTTGGGCATCCTGGACATGTTTACCTTTGCATTCCTCGGCCTCTACTTCGTAGTAAGTTCCCTCTGGACACACGTCTACGCACAGCCCATCGTAGAGGACCATGGAGGTGTCGGCGCAGAGCTCACAGTCGTCTGCCTTGGGGCCCCTGCACTGCCGACAGTCTTCATGGCAGGGGACACACTGACGCAAGTCAGGAAAGAAGCGGCCGGGACAGGACTGGTGGCACAGGCCGTTGAGCAGGAAGAACTCAGGCGCGCACTCTGGGAAAGGAAGAACAGTGAGGGATGCCCTGGAGGTTGGGGAGAGGAATTCGTGACCTTTGCCCGCGCTGGCCCATTGAAGTGTCTCCACTCCGGTTCTTCTGACCCGAGGGTACCAGTGCGCCTCCCCACCCCACATTCTCACTGTCTAACAGGCCCTCCCTGTGGGGAGGAGGCCACACACAGTGGCCTGTCATGGGGCCCTGGATTTGTGTGCTGAAATGACCTGCACTTCCAAGATGCAAAGGCTCCAGAAACTGTTCAGAAAACCTGAGCAATAGTTAGCAGATGCTTAAAACTGTACCAATGGGTCAGAGATTTAGCTCAGTGGTTTCGGAGCCTGTCTTGTAAATGCAAGAACTCAAGTTCAATCCCTGGTACCAAAAAACAACAACAACAACAACAACAACAACAAAAACTACCAAGCACATCAGGCTGAATTTAATACAAAAACACAGCTAAGAATTACTGGGTTAGTTAATTTTTTATTCATTAAGTAAACCAATGCATTGTGGGTTTATTTTCTTCATGATCCTTTTTTTTTTTTTTTTTAATTTCAAGGGGGAATCCTGGTCACACCCAAAGAATCACTGGATAGGACAGTAGATAAAAGTGAGTCTGGCTTATTTTGAAGAGGAAATTGGATAGCTTTTCTTGGGAGATAATTCAGAGAAAAAAGCTTGTTCATAGACAGAGTGGTATTCTCAGTCTTATAGTTACCTAAACCATTTTTTTCCCTTTTTTGTTTTATATCAATTGTATTTCTTTTTCGTTTTTTGAGACAGGGTCTCACTATGTAGTTGAGACCGACCTGGAACTCACTGTGTAGCCCAGGCTGGTCTTGACCTCACAGCAACTCTCCTGCCTCAGCCTCCCGAGTGCTGGGTTTACAGACTTGCACCACCACACCCGGCAAGCAATTGTATTTCTCCAGCTACCTTCATATTCTGTTGTTCACTACCAATCTCTCCCATAGATCCTGTGCCCAGGGCACAGACTTTGCCTTCTTACCTGTCTCTAGCATCTAGGCTGGTGCTTGGCATACACTTCCTGGGCGTGTATATGTGTGTGTGAGAAACCGTGTTCGTTGTGGCTTGCAGGATACACAGTGGAAAATGTGTATCTGATCCTCGATTTCTTTAGTGGTGGGCGTGGAGACAGACTTAGGAAAGGCAGAGATGGGTGAGTCTCACGGCCCCCTCCACACACAGCCTCAGCGGGTAGCCCCCCAGCTAGGGTAGCTCCCCGTTGTGATGCGCCTGGGTACCTTTGCACATCTTCTCGTGGACGCAGTCCTGACACTGCTCAGGGCAGGGCTTGCACACTCCCGCCACGGCCACGTGCCTCTCCGGGCAGCTCTCTAGGCACATTTCCTGGGCCAGAACGAAGCCTCCTTCACACGAGAGGCAGTTGGAGGCATTTCCTTCACACGCTCTGCAAGGAGAGGCGCAGGGCTCACAGGAGTCGTCCTGGTCATAAAAGCCCCTGTGTGAGAAGGGAGAGAACAAGGGAGAAGCCGTCAGGGAGACACACGGTTCGCACCTGGCAGAAGGCTGCTGAGGACTGAATCCCAAGGGCCGCTGCTGTTGTAAAACAAGTGAACCCATCAGAAATACTGAGGAAGGGCGGTTAAAAGCATGGCATGTACTGCGAACATGTTCTAATTAAGAAAAAGAACATCTAGAAAAATAAAACCGGGTTAGGTGTGCTCTTTAGGTGTGAATTGTTTATTGAAAAACAACAGCTGTTAATTTACATATAAGATAGTTATCGTCTGATTTCTCTAGTTTTTCTGAAGTCTCTATTTCTATTTCTCTATCCCCTAATCACTATTACTTTTTCCTTCTTACAGTCTTATTGTATAGTAGAAAATACCTTTTATTCGGTTTACTAATAACTTTTAAAACATTTAGTCCAGGTTAAAAATATTTTCACAAAGCTCAAAAGGGTTAACACCCTACAAAATTTGCTTTCGGATTGTCCCAGCCAACTCTGAAGGCTCCTTTCGGACGCATACCTGTGAGCAGAGGCTCCCAGCACCAAACAGCTCTTGAGTATCTGTGTTTGGCCGCTCTGTGTTTGGGCAACTGACTTTCTGCCAGGTGGAGTCTAATGTACTTCCGGGCGGCTAAATGAGGGCACCTCAGGAATCGCTCAGCGGTGAGCCAGCACGAGCTGTGAAACCCGGGCCGGCTCAAAGATGAGGAGACAGGAAGTGCGAACGATGTACGTCTTTGCAGGGAAAAGCTGAAGAGGGGAGCTGGAACTTTCAGAAGCAGGGAAGTCATGCGCCAGCAGGGGAAAGAAGGGAATCACAGCTGCCTGTTTAAATCTTTCCCATAATTAGCCTTTTATAATTCAGTATTGCCTCAGCAGAGCTAAGGAACAAACCACCTCCGTTCAGACTCCAGGCTAAAGCTGCTCTCTTCTCTCTCTTGCTCTTGTGTGGGGCAGCAGCCCAGGCTGCACTGTAGAACAGACTTCAGGCTGCACATCTCCCCACATCCCACTTTCTCCGGGTCTGGGGACTCCTGGGATCAGTGCACCCCTGGGCAGTTGCTTCTCATAGACAAGAGTCCAAGAGGGCAGTATTTGTTATTCTTTGTTTGCTTGCTTGTGTTTTGAGACAGGTTTTCATTGGACAAAAGTTAGTCCAGGCTAACCTTGAACTTGTGATTCTCCTGCCTCAGCCTCCCGAATGCTGAGATTAAAAACCTGCACTACCACACCTGCTGGACTAATTAGGAGCCTCTGCCTATCTTTTGCTAAATATCCCATTGGCCAAAGCAAGTCACGTGACCCAGCCCAAAACCCAGGGGCAGGGAAATCAGGTTCAGTTTTGCTTCTAGCCAGAGTTGCCATAGAGTTACAGCAGAAGTAAGCATGGACACTTGGAAGGGTGAAGAAATGCAGCAGAGAATGCAAACCAGCAGAATCTTCTTTAATTTTGATGCCAATGAAAGGCTCCCTCCTGTGTAGCATTTTTGTTCGGTGTTTTACTTGTGGATTAACTGTGATACATTTAGTCATTCTTCAGTCATTTACTTATTGTGTTCATTCTGTAAACAAAAATCCTCTGAGGCTGGCCTGGTCATGCACAACTGTAATCTCAGTCACGTGAGAGGCTGAGGCAGGAGGATCATAGTGTGAGGCCACCCTGGCAACTTAGAAAGATCTTGTCTCAAAATAAATAAAAAAGGTAGAGGACCTAGCTCAGAGGTCGCACACCTGGGTTGACTTAGTTTCCCAAACCACAAAAGAAAGAAAGAAACAAACAAACAAACAAATGCTTTTAATTATGCCAGGAAGAAATAAGACAAGAGGGGATAAAAACTCAGGTTTTTCAAACCTGCATTTGTTTATTCATTTAGTGCAGTAGTGGGGATTGAACTTAGGGTCTTCACCCTGAGACACATCCCCAGCTCTACTTTTATTTTTTATTTTGAGAAAGGGTCCAGCTAAATTGCTAAATTACCTAGGCTGGGCTCAAAGTTTTGACCTCTTGCCTCAACTTCCCAGAGTGTTGGGGCTATAGGTGTGTGGTCCCACATCCAGTTTACAAGTCACATTTTAGGGAGGAATGAAGAAAAAAATATGAAAGAAGAAAGCAAGTGAGGTAGAAGAAAAGGAGCTGAATAGTGTCCAGAGGAAAGCTGAGATTGATTCCTAGCATGGGGACTGGCCACTGGAGAAAACCAACCCATCTTTAGAGGGTGAGGCCTTTGGGCCCCATGGTCTGAGTACAATCTTCAGGGGACTTCCAATGGGAGGCTGGCCAGGGCCTCTGACTGTAGTTGGCCTTGTCTAGGCAAGGTTTATATCGGCAAATTCAACCAACTGCAGGTCATGGGCCATGTAAGGTGTGCCTGTACTCATCACCGATGTACCGACCTTTTTTCTTGGCGTTACTCTTTAAACAGTGCAAGTGCCAATTATTTCTGCAGCATTTGCATTGAATTAGGTATTGTAAGTAATTTAGAGATGATGAGGGTTGTACACAGGTTATATGCAAATATGCAGCCGTTCCATAGAAAGGATTTAGCTGTTCTGGAACCAATCCTCAGGGGATACTGAGGAATCTCTGTAGTGTTTGGACACTAAAGAAGAGGAAATCTACATAGAAACTGAAAACATGTAGCATGGAGAAATATTCAGGCTTTTATTAGGAGAGAGCCAGAAGATTGGGGAAGAAATGCTGAAATGAAAGACCTGGATTCAAGCAAAAAAACCCGAAAAGAAACCAAATGAAGTTCACTGTTAACTCAAAAATAAGTGCATAGAGGAAGCTGTTGGGAGGCAGCCAGAGGCAATATGCAAAATTGTTTTTATAGACTTTCATTTTTGTAGGACAGTTTTGGGTTCACTGCACAGTTGAGATGAGGTTGCAGAGATTTTTCATGTGCCTCTCTACATATGCAGAATCTCCTCCTCCATGATCAACAGCTCCCACTGGAGTGGTCCATTTGTTACAACTGGTCAACCTACTTTGAGACATTATCACCCAGAGTCCTCAGGCTACTTTAAGGCTCACTCTTGGGCTTCACATTCTATGGGGTTATGTAAAGGTATAATGAATGTACCACCATTATAGTACCCTACAGAGCAATTTCATTGCTTTAAAATCCTCTGCGCTGTGCCTAATAATCTCTTTCTCTCCAGTAACCTCTTTGCTGTCTCTGTAGTTCTCCCCTTTTCAGAATGTCATGTAGTGGGTGAAATCATATAGCAATCGTGTAGCCTTTTCAGGCTGACTTCTTTCATTTAGTAAAGTACATTCACGGCACCTCCTTGCTTTTTCGTGGCTTGATAGCTCATTTCTTTTTAGTGCTGAAAATATTCTGCTGTCTTGTGCTAAAAACAATTTAATGGGAGGCCATTATATCTGGAGAACTCCAGCACCTTGCCGTTCCATGTAAACAAACTGAAACCAATGTAAATAGTAAAAGCTTAACCAGTTGGAAACCACCAGCTAACCTCTAACTAGGAACTTCATTTTAACCAATTAAACATATATTTTTTTGCACTGTTTCCATGAGCACCTTATAAAGGTTTCCACTTATTTCACAGTGGGGCACTGGACCTCCTGCAGGCAGGTGTTATCCAACTTATGAGCCACAGCAAGCTCAGATAAACTTAATATTTTAATATGCCTCCGTTTATCTTTTAACATTAGACAATGCATTTGATTTATTCATTCACCTACTGATGTAGTTTTGACTCTGAAAGACTGTGTGTGAAAGGCGCCGTCTCCATGGTGATGCTCTTGGGAAGTTGGGGGGCCTAGGAGGAGCCTCTTAGGCTCTTGAGGATGCACTTTTGAAGTGGGCCAGGGAACTCCATCCAGCCTCCCCTTCTTCCCTCTTTTTGCTTCCTGCCAAGAAAGTCATCAGCTTTTCCCTGACACGAGGGCCTGCCACCGTGGGTGGCCTTGCCCAAGGCCCGAAACAGTGGGCCTGAAGAGAACAACCAAACCTTGAGCCAAACAACATTTCCTCTTTCTAAAGTGCCTCTCTCAGGTGTGCAGTCATAGGGATGGCAAACTGACCAGCGCGCCCAGTGAAGGCCACCCTCGCTGTCTCCGCAGTCCGGCAACTATGGGCAAAGCTGCTATTGGCATTGTCATTCATGTGCAGTGTTTTGTGCAACACAAGTTTTTAGGTGGTGTTTTCCAGAGAGCTATTTTGCTAAAATCAGCCTTCTCCACAAAGAACTGTGCTGGCATTTACAAAACATTTTGCTAATGCTTTATTTCACGATTGTTTCTATTTAAGGAGACACAAAGTTTGTTTGAAAAGAAATGATCGCACGTATTCAATTGTTCGATTCGAAGTACCCAGGGCCCCGTCAGTACATGTGGCAGCTGTACGGCTTTACAGCTTTACCCGCCTTGTAAAGATCCCAAGACAGTGCATCCAGGGCTTCAAAGGAGACTGTTTCTCTTCCACTCGAGTCTCGAATCCTCATATTTGGTGAATTTGAACAACACTTAGGTTGTTTTTTGGTTTTGCTTTTAAACAGTCACAAGAACGGTGTATGTTACACTCAAACTTCTTTGCTTGGTGAACATCTACTGCATTTGAAAGCAGTGGTCAGGAAGGCGACTGCTGAGCCGTTCTGATGCTCGTGTTACAGGGTGTGCTGCTTTTACAGGTCTTCCTGCTGTTCTAGGACTGATCACACCCTAAAAAGCCATTTCTCAGAAATAACAACAAAGTCTGCCAAGGCAAGATGAATACTATGCGTTCCAGTTTATCTCCTCCTTGTTTCTCTTGTAAATAAAAAGGCATTCCTGCTGGCTGTTGGTGCCCTGCTTTTGTTGATTTTGTTGCCAGGTCAGGGGTGAATCGGGGTTCAGCCTAAATCACTCCTTGAACGGTAGCCTCTCCCTGCATTTCCAGTTTTGCCTTCTGAGACTTCACATTTGCTTTCTTGTTGACTTTGGTCAATCGAGGTATGAAAATATTGAACGTAACATTGCAGAAGTTGGTACATTTTAATTGTGCACCGTTCTGAATGGTGTGATGAAGTCTTGCCAGGGACGTGAACTGTCCTTTCATCCAGTGTATCCACGCTGTATATGACACCAGCCTGTTAGTAGCTGTTTCTGGTCTTGATGGGCTGTGGCATCCCACGCTCGTGTTACCCTTATGTAGCAGCCCGGTGCTGTATCACAGCAACTGCGCCATTCACTTCCCTCATCTCATCACACAGGGGTCAAATCATCTCTTATCCTCACAAGAAGGTGAGAGCTGGGAGTGGTATCATCCACCTGTCATCCCAACGCTCTGGGAGGCTGAGGCAGGAAGGAAGACTGCACGGTTGAGCCTAGCCTGGGAAATTTAGTCATTTAGTGGGACTTGAAAACAAATTTAGTCATTTAGTGGGACTTGAAAACACAAAATAAGGGCTGGGAATGTAACCCAGTGAGAAAGCTCTAGGTTCCCTGTCCAGCAACCCCCACAGAGAGGGAAAGAAAGACAGAGAGTGAGCTTTTGTAACATGGTTATAATTGTTCTATTTTATTGTTAGTGTCAATCTTTTCCTTTGCCTGATTTATGTTAAATTTTACCATAGGTTGCATGAGAAAAAATAGTGTAGTTACACACAGGGCTTGATACCATCCACAGAGGGCTCTTGGACTGTACATCCCCGGGCTAAGGAGACGCGATGATGCTCTGCTCCTCCAGAGACAGGATGGGGAGGTGTAAAGGATGCACTGTGGCTAAGAGATCGGGAGGGAAGTCTTGAGGAAGTTTTCTCTCCTCTCAAAAGGGAGCTGCCTCTGGTTATGTGACAGTGTGGGCGGGGACACTGGGAAGGGAGGCAGAAGGCAGGAGCTCTGGAGAGGAGCAGGCTGGAGAGGACAAGCCTAGGAACAAGAGCAAGATGGGAAGACCCAGGGTTCCCGGAGAACTGGAGGCTGCAAAAGCAGCTCAGGCCTCATTTTCTAACTTCTTGTTATGTACGATGAGAAAGGCTGTTAGGGCCTGGGTCACTTTGCTTGGCATTCGTTATTTACTGCTGGAAGTTTCCTGATGTATTTTCCATTGCTCCTCACTTCTGTTTTAGGGAAATCCCGGAGGAGGGACAGCTGAAGGGAAAACTACAACCATTATAAACCAGGGGTGTGAGGAAACCGTGGAGTCCATAAACAGCTAACCGGATGTTATTATTTATCTGTTATTTTCATCTACTGTAGAAACTGTAGTTCCCTCTCACAACCTTACCTTTGAAATGGTGGAAAGAAAAAGCAGACACACTTGGTCATTAATAGGAGGTGGAAAAAGAACACGGCCATGCACCATGATGCTGTGGTCGCCGGTGGACCTGGTCTGAGAAGGGAGAACCACTCACCCTCCATGAGATATCCAGGTTTGTGCGCGTACTGTCTGATGTTGGCAGGACAAAACCGCCTGAGGACGCATTTCTCGGAACACAGCCCCACTGTTGTGCATGACTATATTTTCACCAAGGTAAGGACACGTGCACAGAACAGGCACAGGGAGAAGGCGGCACCCAGCCTCCGTAAGTGTCAGCTGCTATTACCAAAGGGGATCCAAGCCAGCAAAGGACATTTATGTGGACACTCTAACCAAGAGGAAGAGCTCTTTGGCAAGCAGAAAGGAATGGCTCGAAAGGTATCATGGAGACTGAACAGCCAGGAGCAAACGGAAGAAGAAACTTACTCAGGGCAGCTGTGGTAGCATCTGCCTTCATGCAGGAAGAGAGGCCGGTCGGGCTGACTGTGGCACTTCGTGCAAAGGTTGTCCCCAGAGCAAGACGTGCAGTCCTCTGGACAGTTCTCACAGCTGCCACTCCTGACGGATGGCCACATGCCTCGGGGACAGGAGGAAACACAGGCCTGGGCCAACAGATATGCACCTAGAAATCCAGGAAGAGGGCAGAGAACGTCACCACACGTTCTCCCGCGCATCACCCTGACATGCACTAGGGCTGCGTTAAACCTTTCAGCGGGGAAAGTTTCCAGCAGTCTTCGGGTTTAACAAGACAGCTGTTAGTGACGGATGGCCACATGCCTCGGGGACAGGAGGAAACACAGGCCTGGGCCAACAGATATGCACCTAGAAATCCAGGAAGAGGGCAGAGAACGTCACCACACGTTCTCCCGCGCATCACCCTGACATGCACTAGGGCTGCGTTAAACCTTTCAGCGGGGAAAGTTTCCAGCAGTCTTCGGGTTTAACAAGACAGCTGTTAGTGATGCTAAAAGAATGCTAAGTCTTCCGGGATGAGTGGGCTGTTTAGAAAGGAAATCGAGAGCAGCAGGCTCTGGCCATGTGTCTGTCACTGCTTCCTGACAGTAGGTGCGGGTCGGGGCAGGCTCCCCTCTGCCCGCTCCGTCAGTCTCGCTGATGTCCTTGTCTGGGCCTCCCAGCTGTGAGGCAGCCATGGGCACAGCGGGATCCAGGCTGCTCTCTCCTCCCTGTCTGGTAAGGAAACTGACACTGGAGCAGCCCTTGAAACTGTGTCCCCCTCTAAGGGACAGGGCAGCTCTTTGTGTAATCAACGCCCCCCCAAAACAACAGATGCTGGTGTTAAAGAAACTGATTTTAAAACCATCTTTAACTGCAAAATTCCAAGAAAATTTCTTTCAGATTTTTGGTGTGGAGTTTATTTTATATGATTATAATCTTGGCCCATGTTTTATTTAAATTCCATGTATCGCTTTACATCTTGGCCCATGTATTACCATTATTTTACATCCTAGCTTGCTACACCCTTCGTCCTTTACTTCCCAACAGCTCAGTTGCTCGAGGTCAAAATAGGAAAGGGTAAACTCCAGATATAAAAATTCATAAATCACTTTTATTATAGTGTACTGTTATCATTTTTTGACTTTGTCAGTTGTTCGTCTCGTACTGAGCTTAATTTATAAACTAACCCTCATGGCAGGAACAAATAGGAGAATGGTATATGCAGTGCCCACTGCTGTTGACGGTCTCAGGCCTCCTCCGAGGGTCTTGGAACATATCCCAAGGATACAGGTGGCCACTGTTCTAACATCACATGTTCCGGTACTGCCTTCAAAACAACCACTAATGGGAGCATAACATTCTTTATGTGACAGCACCACACAAATAAAACAGCTTCCTATTTCAGGGAAGTTATAGCATTTACAGTTTTTGTAATGAGGACAATGATGATTTACTGTGCTGCTGTGTTGTTGATCCTGTTCCCTGCTCCCCTTCCCACTAAATTCAGTCCCACTCGGTACTAAAATGAAGAGGAAAGACACGCAGGCTCTTTGTCCACACTTGCAATCTCTATCCTATTTTCGATAGTGCCCTTAAAAGAGCAAGGGAATCCCTAAAGGTATCAAGTACCCACAGACCCTACCAAATTCTGTGGCCAAGTCAACCATAAGTGCTTTTCGGTTAAAAAACTTTTTTTTTTTTTTTTCAATTCAAAAGCAAATGTTTATTCCTGGTCAGCGTGTGGGTCCTGGGTGTCTGCACAGTAGCCACTGGGATGAGAATGACACTAGAACGAGGTCCTCCAAGCCCCTGTACACAAAGATACCAACGCGCAGGAGTGACAGCGACTGAGATCCACTACGGCGCCTCCTGCCAGGTGCTGCACTGACCTTTTGGACATGAAGTACACAGAGCTGCAGACCCATTGCACGTTTTACAGGAAGAATCGCAAGGCTGATGCTTTCTCAAAACATCTGCATGGGAAAGAAACAAGTCAGACTCCTCTTCCGAACAGGCTCATAGCATTAGTGTTGGAAGGGCCCTGGGGATAATCTCACCCCCTCCCTGCCCCAAATAGAATCTCTTCGCTTTTACCTTAGCTAACTGCTGGCACTTGTCCATTTCCATTATTTGATTTTATTCCTGTTTTTTGTCTTTTAGAAAACATTGTTATTTTGGGGGGTACCAGGGATGGAAAACATTATTATAAGCATAAAATATACTGTATCTTGTTTTCTGAGGAACCATGCTAAATCAGGCGTTGCCACCCAATGGAAACACTGAGTATATTTATCTTTTTAACTTTAATTTTTTCAGTACATGTTTGCAGTACATAATGATGACTTTCATCGTGGGGAGCCGGTAAGTGTTCTGAACACACCTTATTCTCTCTACTTCTTCTTAATTGGCAACTGATTAACAACACTTTCTTTGCAACCTTGCAGGGATCAAGAATGTGGCATCTGACAGGACCATCTTTAAAACGAGGAGAATGTGTGAACCAGCAAATATTAGTTCTTTCATAGATTCAAGATGTGTCTGAGTGTGTGTCTGTGTGTGTCCACGCATGAACAAGTCTGCAAGTCTCCAGTCATCTTCTTTGCCAAGCGTCTTAAAGGACAACTTCTCTTCACTCCGAAGTGATCACGGAGAATACATTGTGCCTCTCGTAGAAAAAAAATCAATTTTCTTTTTTGTTCTTCAAAAACCAGATTACATTACTGGTCAAAGTTTGGGCCATGTGTCCTTCAGAGCAGCCACTATGGAAAGCAAGCTAAATTCACCCCACCTTACATTCGTCCCAATGGATTGCTGCCCAGGGATATAATCAGCCAGCCGTGAGCTTTCCGGTGGGCGGGTCTTCAGCAGCCCCCTCCCCGTGGACGCACCGCTGACTCAGCACACACTAGACGTGCCCCCACTTCTTTCTAAGAGCATCGCCCAGTGGACTTTTCCAGGAAGCCCCTCTCCAGCTCCACAGGACAATTTCAGAGACCCATGGAGAAGCCTGTCTGGCCTCACTCGATCAGTGCATGTTGAGATTATGACTAAATATCAGGAAGCAGGCTGACGCACATGGGAAATTAGAAACAGAAGCTGTAGCACAGAACAGCTGATCCGAGTGACCCAGACGCACAGGCAGTGGCTGGTGTCTACTGCCCCCTCCATCACCACCCCTGCTCCTCTCTCCCTCTCTCTCCGCTTCCTTCCTCGCTCCCTAGGAGTTGGTAGGGATGGTTCTCCAGTCACACCTGCCTTCAGATCCCAGCTGCGCCACTTGCCAGTAGGGTAACCATGGCTACAGCGGTTACACTCTCTGAGCCCGACTTTCCGAGTCTCTAAAATGAGAGGAGACGCTTCCTTCCTTACAGGGGTGTTGTGAAGACTGAATGAGCCTGCATGCGAAATGCTCGGAGCAGCGGCTCAGTGGCCATCTGCTCCCTGTCCTGTTTCCCACGCCACTGTGGAGGCTCCTTTTATTGACCCTTCCTTTTCCTCTGCTTTCCTATCTAGGTTAGCGCCAAGATGCATGGCTTGGCACTTACGGGTAAGGGCGTAGACACAGGTATAGAGGCGTGAATGTAGATATGTAGGTATGCACACACACATAAAAATACACGCAAATGTAATCAAGCACACACATGCACACACTTGCCCAGGCTGCCATGCTGGTTTTTTCCGAGCGTACGACAAAAGCTCAGGATTGGTGAACCTTCCCACCCTAGGAGGGAGGATCTGCTAGGGACTCCGCAGCACACGTTGGCCATGCTATTGACATAAAAACGGTTCCCCAACATGACCTGTTCTGTCCCCTAAGGCCCCTTTCCACCTGAGGAAGTCAGCCCACAGGAGAAGGCCCCAGAAAGATCGCACACGGGCTTACTGAGTGGGGTGAGAGACGTAGTTCAAACGAGGATAACAAAATAATATTCACCGTAGTGAGCACCTTGAAAATCTGTCGCCTGTACAGGCCACTGACTTTCTTTTGATCTCATTTTGTACTACAAGTTCAGATTCACACATTGATTTTAATTAATTTTCATATTTATGAAAAGTGTATACTTACACATGCGTATTTATTTATAGTTGCATATATCTTGCATGTTGGCTATATTGTACGAAGAAATCAGCGTAGAACGCTGCAATGCCCCAATATGTCCACCAGGTGGAGCTCTGCACTAGCAGTTCACAACAATTTTCATTTCCCCAGCTACAGTGATCATAAAAGTTAAACTGGAACAAATAAAATTTGACCTTAATTATAGTTTCCCTTTCTAGCCACTCCTGAAATTCTACACTGGGCAGGACTTTAAAAAGGAAAGGGAAGAAAGGAAAAGAAATCTCTTCCACCAAGAAAGTATAGTGTCCATCCTTTGGAAGTGGCTTTAGTTAAACCATGAAGTGACAATAGCTAAAGCCAAGGGTTCTTTTCATTTTGTTTATTTACTTTATTACCTATATAATAGTCACAAGGTTCCAGCTGGATGGAAGGTATATGCTGTGAAATCTCTCACTTCTTCTCTATTCTTTTAAATATAAACATTCACACTGTTTATCCCCCGCTCATCCATCCATCTATTCGCTCACTTATTGGTAGTGATCAAGGCCATGGCCCGCTACGTGCCAGGCAAACGTTCTACTGCTGAGCTACATCCCAGCCCCTTCCCTCTTTTTTTGACTGAGTCTTGCTCAGTTTCCCAGACTTGCCCCACTTGTGACCCTCCTGCCTCAGCCTGCGGAGGGGTTTTGGGACAGGCATGCGCCGTCGCACTTGGCTCCAAGAAGGTCTGTTTTGTTTGCCCCTACTGGGACCTTGAGCTTTTGAGGCAGGTGCGATGCCACTGAGCTAAATCCCCGGCCCTAAGAGGATCTTTTTGGTAGCTTTTCCCAGGTGCAGTGGCTCAGTGCAACGGGGATGGCCTCATACAGTGTAGAAATCTCCAGGGCTGGGTTTCCTCAGTTTCCCTCAGTGAGCACCCACTGACACTTGCTCTTGGCCGCTCCCCTCTCCATTTCTCTCTTAGGACTTCAGCAGCCCCACCGTCCCTCCCCCAGCACCCTGGCCGGCTTTTCGTGAGGCAGACTCTACCTCTCGGCCGGCGGCAATGGTTTTCTCCCTGCTTCCCTGTTACCTCTTTTGATTTGAACTTTCCACCTTCGTCGCTCCTGCAGCAGGTTCTTCACCAAAGATGGGTTTGTGGTGGACACAGCTTCTTTTTATTAAAAAAAATAAAGTGTTTTTTTATAATGCCAAAAAACATAAAGAAGATAAACTTCACCTATAATTCCACCACCCAGAAATGGCTGCTGTGTTTACTTTGATACATAGATTTTCCATCTTTACATGGGATGTGTGAGTATAATTACATATACATGTTTAGTCATTTACACATTTATATACTAACTGCACTGCTTTCAACTTACATACCTTATGGGGACTTTCTTTTTAATTTCTTTGCAAGCATCATTTCTTTTTGTTTGTTTGTTTTTTGTTTCATTTTTTCAACTATGTAGTTGAGACTGACCTGGAACTCACTATGTAGCCCAGGCTGGTCTCGAACTCACAGCAATCCTCCTGCCTCAGCCTCCCGAGTCCTGGGATTACAGGCATGCGCCACCATTCCAGGCTCAAGCATCATTTTTAATGGTTTGCATATTTATTTGTATGAATCATAATCCATTTCGTCTTACACTTTGGATTTTGGTTGTTTTATGATGGTACATAAAGGTGCTATCAACACCTCTGTAACCACCTGCCGCGTTATTTGTTATCCCAAATCACCATTATTTGCTGCCTTTTTTCTGTTACCATTTTCTGCAGACCCTGTATTATACGTCAGACCCACTAGCTGCATCCTTTTATGAGTCAGGGGTTGCTACTTTGTAAAGGAACGAATGTGCCAGGTTTTTAAATGAATGAGGTCAAAGAGTTCAAAGAGGTCAAAGAGGGGATAGGCCAGCTTTTAAAGAGTCGTCTGTGTTCTGGAAGACTCATGTGTGTCCTCTCATTGCATTCTTAAATGACTCTGTGAAGTAGTTTCGTGCTCTCATTTTATGGATGTAGAAACCGAGGCTCAGAGAGGGTGAGAATCTCACTCAAAGTCACACTGCATCTGAGTTCAGGTGTGCCTGACTCTAGAGTTATTCTTTGCTTTGTAGTGTTCTGGGTTGAAGGCAGGGCCTTGTGCATGCTAAGCAAATGCCGCACCACTGAGCTACCCTCCCTGCCCTGGGCCTGCCTACCTGTGGGGTCTACCTCCACTAGAGAAATTAATACAGTGGAATTTTAAAGTGGCTTGAGAGGCCCAAGCCATGATGTGCTGGTGAAACAGCTTTCTAGAAAAAATAAGCTTGATTCATAGTGCTGCCAATTTCTGTGGTGTAAAGAACTCCCACAGTTGCTGCTTTCAAGTCACCAGGAGCTTGGCAAACCACTCACAAAATTCTGGGATGTTTAACAATCAGTCTGAGTCAATGTAAGTGGCTCACTTCTGTCTACACATAGAGAGATGAGTCCTTCTAAAAGTCAGCTTTCTGTGGCATCTTGAAAGATCTTAAAGTCCTTATTATTATGCAACCACTCCTCACAAATAAGGACTTTTTGCCTCGACCTGTGCATGGCTTTCATGTTTGTGAAAGACCCTGGTATTCCAGGCTTTCCCCGAGCCTGGGAGTAAAGATCAGATGACAGGACAGTGACAAACTGTTAGGATGCGGTGAACGATCAAAAGCTAATTCCCCGTGTCTGCGTCTTGCAGGTTGGATTCTCCGTGGAATATGTCATTAGGGCCTGCTCTACACGGTTTTAATCAGTGGTGCAATCGGTGGGTAGGGGAATTTTTAGGAATCACCGGCAGGACTTCACTGCACTGCTGCGGGGGGCAGGGGAAAGCCACCTAAGAAAACCCAAATGCCTTCCCAGTGGCGGAGGTAACCACTTCCATTCCCAGGAGCAGCTCCAGGACACAGGCGGAAGCCGCGCTCTTCTCCCACTGCTGCGGTGGCAGCATCTGGACACTCTCCACGGTGTGAGGCGGCCCATCACTGCCGGAGACATGCACCGTTCGTGCGGTATGAGTTTTATTTCTGCCCCTTAGACACACTGGACCAAGGCATCTTCACTATACGTTAGTGACAGGGGGTGGGGAGGATTGACAACCTGTGTCTGTGTGGTGACCTCGGTCACCGCCAGGGCAGCAAGGCGAGCAGGGCCTTCTCAGGTTGCTTGGTCTTGGTTGCTCCGATGTGTCCTGTAGTCCAAGCCCTTGGACTGTGCAGGAGGCCTCTCCACTCTGTCGGTTGTGGACGAAGGATCCTGGCTGTTCCGCCACTGCCTCTGTCTAAAATCCTGGTTAACCACAGTATCGAAAAGGAGTTCGGGGAACTCCGGCTGTGTGTTTAATTTCAGAGGCATTTTCTCAACTCATGCTGACCTGGGGTCATATGCTGCGATGCAATTTTCGCGTGTGAAGATGATCTGATTGTTTCCACTGGGGAGCGTCAAGGTGAGGGAATGAACTGAAATTTGCTTCTTTCTTACCTGAATTTCAATATACGTTTAAAACAAAAACCAAAGCCAAGAAAATCCTTGCTGGTACCACCTAGGCAACTGCATTCTCAGATAAATGCTCTGTAATCTGTCTGGGCTTCTTCTAAATTGACCCAGAATGACTGCAATCTGCTTTCCATCATCCGAGAGGTGTGGCTAATTAGTGCTTGCTCTCTGGAACTTTCTACTCTCCTGTTACACTCCTGACCTTGTTTTTGAAGGAGAAAGAAGCAGGAGAAAGATGTAGGCATTGGCTCCGATACTCCCGAGGCTTTCTGGTGTGCATCTTCCATTTACTATCCATTGCAGGGCTTAAACTATGCTAAGGAAGCTAAGCTACAGCGTCACCTTGCTTGGTGAATAAACTGGGTTTTCTCTTTGCTAACGCTCTGCCTGTCTGAAATGGAAAAGTGCGGCTATGGCATTGACTTTATTGCTTTTGTCCAGCCATGAGAAACATTCTCATCTGCTTCGCACATCCCTTATTAGTGTGAATGCCCCAAATGGAATGAATCCTTCCTCTCTTCGAAAAACATTAGATTGTGATCGAAGGGAAAGTGGAGTGGTGGGTGTGGTGCTTCGACAAAGGGGAACAATCAAAATCTGATTTTTGCTTGCACAATGCGTAGCCCAGTTGAAAAAAACGTGTGATCATGGGGGGGACCAAGTCCGCTTTGACTCTTGGCTGTTTGGATCTGTTCATCATCTGGGCGCCAGATAAAATACAGATGTTCTTAGCGAGAAACACAGCACCAGACCATTTCCCTCTTGGCTTGCGCTGCCTCTCAAATGCCTGAATGCCAGACAAACTCATTTGCAGCATTTTGGTTCAGCTATAACTCATGGAAGATATCCCACTCTGGGCCGAATACTCCTCGCTAGCTCTGTCTCTGAGACAGGCCCCATGTGGTCCGTGGCTGCTGGCTTCGGGACGGTCTGAGTGGCTCTTCCTCTAAGTCATACAGGCGAAACTGTTACTGCAGACAGCAGCCTGAGACCTCTCTCTTGCCCTGCCCTACCCCTCGGAGCCCTTAGGGGACCTGCCCTGTGTGGTCTTCTTCAGCTGCCATCGCCTCTGCATTGCAACGACCCCTGAAGCAAATGAGCCCTTGCCCCATATCAAATGGACAGCACCTTTTGTTTTTGTGAGTGTCCCTGCATAGAATGCATGTAGGATTTTCTCCAGTAGGAAGAGGAATTTGTTTTGTGAGCACCTCAGACATGGAGAGGTCACCAAAAGCCTGTAACTGCCTTGCAAGGAAGCTCATAACCAAGGTGCAAAGGTGAGGCCGGCCCTAAAGGCTCAGGGAGGAGGAAGACCTGCAGGTTTTCACTACAGCTGCCCAGCTTCCTCCTTTACCCTCCCTCCTGCACCTTAGAAGATCCCCATTTCCTCTCTACAACAGGGCGGGCACTGATCAAGGTAAGCTCAGGTGCTGGCGAATTCGAAGGCTCCAGTACCTTAGGTCTACCTGGAAGGCTCCTTTTCCATAGTGCAGAGACCCATGCGCTTAAAGAATGATAGAAATTCTGATGTCTTCTTTTTTTTTTTTTCTTTTCCTTCCTCCCTCCCTCCCTCCTTCGCTTCCCTTTGCTGAGGATCAAACTTGGGGCCTTGCACACGCTAAGTGAAGTCTCTACCACCAAAGCTACATCTTTAGCTTTGAAATTTTTATGAGAATTTTTAAGTGGATGCCGTTTGAGTCATTTCCCTTAGTGACAGTGGTCATGCTCCTGGGCCACCTCACCCAGGTAGAAACTCAGGTAGCCAGGCCAATCATAAAATGCCCCTTGGCTCAATATGATGGTTCACGTCTATAATCCCAGCACTCAAGAATCTGAGGCAGGAGGATTGTGTCAAGTTTGAAGCCAGCCTGGGCTACATAGTGAATTTAAGATGGGCCTTAAAAGAAAGTGAGGCCCTATTTCAAAACAAAACAAAGTAACCAATAAATAAAGTGCCCTTTGGGACTGGCTGTGGTGCCACATAGCTCTCATCCCAGGCGCTCAGGAGGCAGAGAGAGGCAGGAGAATCTCAAGTTCAATGCCAGCCTGGGCAACTTAGTGAAACTCTCTCCAAATAAAATAAAACGGTCTGGAGATGTAGCTCAGTGCAAATGTGCTTACCTAGCATGCGTGAGACCTTGGGTTTAATCCCCAGCACCATCAAACAAAACAAACAGTGAGTAAATAAATAGCCCTGCAGGGATACAGCTTCCCCAGCCAGATGCCAGCTACATTTCTTCCCCTGCCACCTCGAGCCCTGCCACCACCACCACCACCACCACCCCGCCCCCAGCAGCCACACAGGACACACCCAGCTGTTTCTCTGCCGTATTCTATATTGGAGACTTTTAAGCCCAGGGCTGCAGAGCGAGGGAGGCCCTGCGGGCGTCTCTGCTAGGCACCTACCCTTCCCAGTCTCGCCTTCGGCGGGGGGCCACGCGTGGCCCGCGCACATCCCGCGCTGCAGCCTCCGTCCCTCGGCGCAGCTGCTGCACTCCGCCC